CTCCCAGGGCTTGTAACATGCAAGTGGGTAAACCGAGCCACGTTTTCTTGAGAATAGAAACATTCCCCCCCCCACCAAAAAAGTCCCTTCCCTGCCACTGGACCTACCCGCACACGTAGATATGAGCATTCCCCTCATTAATCAGCTTCCAGATGTTTTCCTTGTTCTTCTTCAGTAAGTGCTGAACATAAACCTGGCAGGAAAAGCGGTGGGGGTGAGCCGAGAGGACAGAGCCCCGACACCACAGGCCATGGCGAGGGAGGGGAAGCCAAGCCCGTGCTCGTGGCTGCACAAGACAGCGGAGGAGTCGCATGCTCCCATGACTGCCATGGGCCTTCCCTGTCAGCGAGGCTCCAGCCCTCGGGGCCTTTCCTTCCCCTGCTGCCAGGGCTGGGAGCAATGGTGGGCAGCATGAGCAAGCGGCTGGGGGACAAGAGCGGTACCTTCTCAGCCTGGTCCCTGGAGAAAGCGACGTTGAGCTGCGTGAGGACTCCCTCCTGATGGAAGCGGGCCAGCTCCTCGCGGTACAGGTAGTCCTCGTGCTCACGGCGGCAGGTCGTCCTTGTTCTCCCGGGGCCAGCCGTAGTAGAGCACCGTCTCGCCCACCTCTTTGCCTGCAGAGTCACACAGCACCCATCAGCTGGCTCCCTGCAGCCCCCAACGCCGCCTTCCCCACCTCCCCTTCTCCTGCTAACCCAGGGGACACACAGCTCTGCCACTGCATCTGTTTATAAGGAGAAGCTCGAGACCGATTCCCAGAAGTACCCGTGTACTTTAGAAATGAGCCTAAGTGACTTGACTGGTTATTCAGAGACATGGTGGCAGAGGTCAGAGAACTGGCTCAGGTCTACTTGTCCTCCCAAACATCCTCTGTGCCCAAGGGGAGGACAAAGCATCCTTGTGCTGGACAAACACACGTAGCTGCTGTTCATTCCACTCCATCGGTCTGCTTTTGGCTAAGACCCGTCAGCGATGTGAGCAGCACGCACTGCACCTGAGAGGAACCAACAGGCCCTGCAGAGCATCATCCTGCAGCCGCTCCGGTCCCCAGGGAAGTTTCTGGGCACTCACCTTGCTGCTTCAGCCAGGCCCGCTCCTGAATGAAGCCAATGAAGGGGGCAATGCCAGTCCCCGGTCCGATCATGATGACGGGCGTGCTGGGTTTGAAAGGCAGGCGGAACTGCGACTTCCTGACATACATGGGCACCAGGGAGGTGCTCCCGTTCTCGTCTGGCACTTTGTTCTTGAGCCAGTTGGTGGCCACCCCTTTGTTCAGGCGTCCCGTCTTGGTCTCGTACTCCACCGTCACGGCACAGATGTGGATGGCATTGGGGTGAACCTGCAGGGAAGGGACGTCAGCACCAGGCAGAGAGGGAGCCCCAGCAACCTCACAGCTCAGTCCCTCGTGCTCAGGGATGGCGAGAAGTTTAACCTAACATTAATGTTGGGATAGCTATTCCTCCCCTGGCAGATCAAACCTCCCAGCATGTCCCACACAGGGCTTCTGTCTTGCGCCCGACTCGCCACAGGCCCACTGAGCTGCTCTCGGTATTGCCAGCAACCTCAGGGCTCCAGGCACAAAGTCAAGAGTGAATCTTGACCAACCCCTAAAACAGTACCTTGCTCCCAAGGCCCTGAAAGCAAGGCCTATGGGCGAAGAGGAGCAGGGCTGCAGGGAGGGTGGTGGTATCGGTGCAGCTGGCTGCAGTGTGGGACCCTCTGCAGACCCCACGGAAGTTGGGATATGCACGGATGTAACAAAGGCTGCCCCCCTTACTGAAAGTGTCACCAGGGCAAATTCCCAGTGTCCTGTCCCCAGCTGAGGGGGTGGGACTGCAGCACTGTGGAGCTGCAGCTGTAGGTCAGCAGTCTCTTGGCAGCCCCAGTCCCTGCCGGAAGCACGCTCACCTTGGAGGAGGAGGCGATGGAGTAGTAGCGGGCCTGCAGGCGGGGCAGGAGCTCACACAAGTGGTCGATGGGGGGGCGCAGCGAGGGCATGTCCTGCAGGATGGCCAGGATGTTCCTCCGGGCCTCCACCACCCAGCTGAGGTAGAGAGCCTGCGGGCAAGGAGGGCACACGCACGATGACTTCCCTACGCGGCTGGCAAACGCTCCCTCAGCTCTCCGCATGTGGTACCCAACAGTCCTGGATCCCTTTTGGGGATCCCCCAGCACCCAGTTCAACCCAGCAGCTTTGCTGGGAATGCCACAGCTCCCACCTTCCCCTCGGCAGCAGACGATGCCATTTTGCGGAGGTGCTCCTGCTCGCCGGCGTCCGTGGCGTACTGGGCCAGCTCATAGAGGACATTGGTGCGGGGTGGGTTGGTGATGTCCAGGTAGTATGTCAGGGCTGTACGGTAGGACGTGGGGCAGGGGAAGGGATGTTTCTTATTGGATTCCTCTGGAGAAGAGAGAGAGGAAAGAAAAAAATTAAAAGTCAGCAACCACATGCTGTTACGTTAGAGATTTCGTGCCAGCAGCTACATGAAGCGTATGAGAGCTGGAGACAGAGCAGAGGAACCGGCTTCAGAGAAGCAAGAGCAGCCCTAGGGCTGAATCGGCCCGTTGGCCAAAGCCCTGATCCCACACTGAAGCAGCTCCAGCTCAGGACAGCTCCCTCTCCAGGCAGCTACGTCTCCCAGTAGCCCATTTTGTGTTTCACAGATGCTGCTGGACAGCTTTTCAGAAAAATTTAAAAAAAAAAAATAAAAAAAAATACCCTGTGCTCCCCAGTGGGGCGCTCTGCCCTGAGATACCCATGCATGGAGGTACCCAGCAAACTCCCAGGCCAAGTGGGAGGGCTGTTCTCCATGGCTAATTTGGCCTCATGCACTTACACCTCCTTCAGATCTGGCCTGAAAAGCATCCTTCACCTCCTTCAGCCATGGACTCGTGTGCTCACAGCCCCCCTGGGAAAGGTAAGCGCCAGCAGTCGAGGCTGGAGCCGTTCAGTTCAGCAAACAGAGGTCCATAAGGGACAGGAATGACAGCGTGAGGCCGGACAACGAGGGACACCGCACGGCGGGGCTGCAGGCTCCAGCAGCGCACTGAAGCTGGTTGCTCTCGTGAAACGAGGAGCTCTCTTGGGCTTCTGGGCCAGCACATCTGATGCCTCAGCTCAGGCCGCGCTGCCTCAGGAGCGAGATGGGCAGCAGCTGCTGTCTCCCTCCTGCCAGCAGCCAGCTCTGCTGGGAATGTTGCCCAAGAAAAGCTCTTTGTATCAGCACAAGTGCTCCCTCCTGGCAGTTCGGTCCCGAAGCCTGCGCCTCCTCCAAGGACTGAACAGCATCATCTCAGGCAGGAAGGCCCCTGTTGAGCTCTGGGGCTGCTGCAGCAGAGGGATGTCCTGGCGGGCTGATGCTCTGTAATTAGGAGCGTGCTGTTACATAATTTGTTGTTGAATGGGCACGCTAAGTGCATTTCACAACTGACCCACTTCAGCTGGCTCTCAGCAAGCAGGCTCCATGCCACTGTTGCTAAAATGACACCACATTTGGAGCAGCCACGGGATGTCTCTGTGTGTCTGGAGGTGCAAGGCGATCTGGCTGTTGCTCTGGTGGGCAGGACAGAGGCCATAGCTGAAGGAAAACTGCTGACACTCAGGGGTGATCCATACTCACCGTCCAAATTGTTTAGGGACATGACTGTGTCCAGATCCGTGCCCAGGATCTCACCAATCTGATTCACCAGAGAAGAGTCGTTGGCTGGGTACACTGCCACGTGGTCCCCAGACTCGTACCTGGCACGAGAGCAGGAGGAGAGCAGATGAAACACCAGCACCACTTCTCATCCACCCCAGGCCTGAGCTGCTCAGCTAGAACACAAGCAGGCTGCTGCAAGGGGCGGTAGGACAACACTGAGATCTGAGCTGCCACACCGTGCCTGCACTGTCAGGGATCCCAAAGAGCAGGCAGTAATAGCAGAAAGGACCATTGTGGAATAACGGCTTTAAGAACCAGGGTTTTTTTTACACAGGAGCTCCAAGATAACAGCAGTTTTGCCAGAGACTTCAATGAGGCCAGACTTCCAGCAAGGACAAGGCCAACTCCCTAACAGGCAAGGAGCAAAGCTGCTCAAAACCTCTGCAGTATTTTGTTATGTTAAGCCACCTGGATTCATGGCTTTCTCACAAGCACACAGAGGAATTTAAGCCAGCAACAACAGTTTTAAGAACAGGGCTTTATTCCCTCTATGCTTGTACACCTAAGCCAGGCAAATCCAGGCGTGAGCTCATCTGCCTCCTCACTTTTTGAATGACTCCTAGAGAATTCTCGCAGCTGGGACTGCTCAGGTAGGACAGGTATGTGCAGCCAGCTCTGGAGGGACCCAGAGCAGCCAGCTGGCATGGCCAGGCACTGCACAAGAGCTGGGAGAAAGTCCTGACATGGGGTACCTGGTAAGTGGTACAGAAGCCCAGAGGAGCAGCAGTAATTATGAGAACAAGGTCCTCTTCCAAAATGCCGGATGAGGCCAGTGCCACCTCCTTGTTCTTTGATCCCGTTGAAGACTGCTCCTGCTAAAATAGAGGACCAGTCTCCTGTGGGAAACTACCTGATTTTGGAATTGGAGATATCCAGCTCCAGGTGCATGAGGTGTCGCTCTCCACCCTCGTTCAGCTTGCGGTTCTCCGTAACCTGGGCCAGGAAGGGGTTCTTGGCATCGAACGGCCTGGAAGGAAAGACAAGGATCCTCTGGGTTACTCTCCGCAGGCTCACAGCGCTTTCTGTATCCAAGCACGTTCCCTCTGCCTCCAGAGCAGGCTCCCACAATTTGAGCATGGGGCTGTCCTGGCTCATGTTTCAAAGCAGACCACAGCACAAACCAAATTATGATCCTGCAGCTACCCACACTGGCAGAGAAAACCAATCATTTTCCTTCTAAGCACAGCCCAGCAGTCAACAGCTTCTGTCCCATTAAGAACAAGTGATGCAAGAGGAGATTGGAGGGAATGTCACATCTCAAAGAGGTATGTCAGTCTGGACAAAATTTATACAGCTAATCTCCCCAAAGCAAAACTGCAAGCAACCACCACGCATTAGCTACCCCGGGTGAGGAAAGGCTCCGAGTGACCTTAAGACACATGCTGCAAATGTACCGGCCAAACAGCACAGCCACCTTCTCACACACTAATGATTCATTAACTGGGGAATCCCTGAGAGCCCCAGTAAAGATTTGAACCTATATCTCTTGGGCAGACATCTGTCACACGGGTGCACTGCAGAAATGACACTGCCTGCATAGCACGCGTTGTTACAAACATCAAGGACTCCGTTGGTCAAAGCCTGGCCCACGTACACCCTGCCCAGGGTGGTTTGGCACTTACGGCTTCTGGTTCTCATAGCTCTTGAGACGGCCCATCTCACCAGTGTAGACTTTGTTCATGTTCACATCCGTGTGCACCACCAGCTCATACTGGCGGATGCTGGAGAAGGAAAGGGAGAGAAAAAAAAAGTCAGACTGGAAGTCACAACGTACAGTTGGAACTGTCATCTGCTTTGCTGGATTTGCTGCAGTTCAAAACCAAATGCAACTTGCACCCCTTCAACCTCCTCAAGACATTAGGGAGCAGACATCTGCAGACAACGCAGAAAGCCCAGACTAAGAGGAAACAGCTTCGCCGGGAGCATCACAACCCAGCAAAGCCATCCACAAGGGAACCAAACCCATCACATCCCCACTCAGAACAGAAATCCAGAGCTGGGTTCAAACTCGCACCAGGACGGGCTCAATCCAAACAGCCCCACTCACTGATCTACTTCAGATGTGCCCTCTCCGGTCTGGAAGAGGAGGCAGCGCACAGGAGAGGGGACAGCAGCTCAGGGCTGATGGCACAGCCACCAGTCAGAGGTGGCCAATCTCTCAGGCACCCAGAAGAACCTGCTCCCTTACCCACCTGGACTCTTCTCCTGTAGCCTCCACCCCGAAGTGCTCACACACCGCTGGCCAGAACTGCTCTCTCCAGGTGATGAAGTCTTCTTCCAAGCTAGCCAGGGCAAAAGAAAGATTCAATAACATTGCCCAAGGGGGAGCAAAGGAGTGTTGTTCCCAGAGGAGCTGTTTGAAATCCCTATGGACTTTCTCCTTTCACCGTGGCAAAAGGCATTTGTCCTTGGACCCAGGCAGTTTTGGTACCTCCACATACCCACAGATCAGAGGAGCATCTTCAGAGCGCTAAGTGGGTGGGAGGGAACTGTTGCTACACCAGCCACCCCTCCCTTCACTAGGTCTGCCCAGGAAGACTTTGTTATTCAGGCTCGGTCTTTAACAAACTCGGGTCCCCCTTACCCACTGGTGGCATTAGGCCACCTTCCTAAAAGGCAGATCCCACCGTGGCAATGCTTATTTCTCTGGGCTCAGAGCCTCCCACACACAGCACATCCCTCTCATCACATCTTGCAGGCCTTAGAGGCAAAGCTACAGGTTGATGTAAGTTCCCCAGTTAAGCTGCTACCCACAGGGTGCTCAGGTGAGCAGAGAGAGGTCAAAAAACCCCAATCATTGTCCAAGGTGGAAAATTGCTGCCTTCCACCATAAAACAAACGGTTCACAAGGAGACTGAGTTTGTCTCCTCCGCAGGGATGAGTGAGCCTCTCCATACAGGCTGGGTTAGCAGTGGAGCTGCGGCAGGGCCAAGGCAGAGGCTGCAAAGCCTCCCCAAGTATACAGCTATGGTCATTTAAAGCTGATACAAGATCTCACCAGGCACAGGATCCCCTAGGATGCTCTAAGCATACAGGGATCTGCTTGTGGGAGGAAAGACCAGACACACACCCCCAGACACGTCAGCTCCCACAACTAGCCCCACGGAGTTTACTTCTTAGTAGTAAGGCCAACTCCCCGCCAAGGTCCCTTCCACAATGCCGTAGACAGCTCTGACCAGCCTCTCAAGCCAAGCTACTCACTTCCCATCGTCATCTCCTAGCCCAAGTTCAAAGATGCGTTGGGCTCCAAGCTCCTCCAGTCTCTTGTCCACATACTTTCCCATGGCATTGAAGTGCTCATAAGTCTTGTTCCCCAGCCCAAAGACCTGGAAGGGAACACTGGTAAGTGTGGAGAGGCAGGAGCTGGATTTTTCCCATCCTGCTGGCATCCTCTGGCCAGTATCAGCAAGCAAAGGATGTTGAAGGAAAAACAAGCATGGAAGACCAACAGCAAGATCTCTCCCAACTCCCTGTCAGCTATTTGTGGACCTTCTGAGTAAAAAACTACTACTGGAGAGCAGCCAGTAGGCACCACCACCTCCCCTAAGCCAGGCCTAAGGCACATCAAGAGGATGTGCACACACAAGAGCTGCCTGCATCATCTCCTCAAGGGACCAGTAAGAGCTTGGACTGCCTGGAAACCAACTGCTGTCCCTTGCCTCCCACAAACTGCTCGTCAAACGTTTGCTCACTGTTTTATACAGAGCAGTTTAACATCTCCAGCAGTTGATTTTCTCCTCATTTGCAATTATACTGCCTAAGGAATTTGGCCAGGGTTAGGTGAGGTGGCAGTATCTCAGCCAATTATTCAGCTCAGCACAGGAAAAAGAGCTACACACCCCTTCAAGTGATTTAATTTGTGGGAGAAGATCTGGCCCAGGGCTGCTCAATTAGCTTCCGAACAGCAGCAGCGGCCTGTAACTCATTTACAGACCTTGTATTCAAAGCCTGCTGGGCTTGCCTGCTTTTGCGGCAAGACATTACCAGCAAACCCTTCTGATTTAGGGAGTGGAGAGAGTACTCTGACATCTGCCTTTAAAGCCCCCAGATATACGTTTGCAAGTGTCCACAAAGCTTGGAGAGGAAGACAACAGAGACCGCATCCAACAGAGGCGTACAAGGCACAGACACCACGTTGTGCCTTTACCCAAGCCACGTGCAGGCACAGGGGAGGGCTTTTGACTTTCCTGCCCAAATGCAGCATAAACTGGAAATGAGCCACTTACTGCAAATCGGAGCCCCGACAAGTCAGCATCAGCCTCCTGCAGCCAGTCGTAGAAGTCTTGGGCATTGTCCGTGGGATCACCCTCACCATAAGTGGCCATGCAGAACACAGCTAAGGACTTGTCGATCTCAGACAGGCGACTCAGGTCCGACTACAACCAAAAGGAAAGAACAAACCCTCAAGGATCCCACAACACAATTATTGGGCAAGCCTACTCCTAACTCTGGTGTGTGGAACAGCGCCACATAATGTTCAACAGCTGATTATAAAAGGGCTTGGGAAAAGCCAAACCCACCTGAAATGGTAAGGAAAATAAAGCTAACCACTCTCCCCAGACAACAAGTCAAAACTTCTACCCCACCAGGAAAGCGATGGGATTTTCCATATGAGGCTTTAAGGGAGCAGGATCGTTGTTCGCTCTGGAGGATGACACAACGTCAATGCCACTGTGCAAGCCTGCAGCAGTATGGGTTTAATGTTGACTACACAAGGAATACAGAGCAAGTTTCATGCTGCTAATGGATGACTGTTGATTCCCAAACATTCCAGGCTACCTTCCTCTTTCAGTTGTATTGCAGAGTTCACCCCAAATGTAGATTGGCAAGGACCAAGCCCACCTCTGCATCTCTCAGGCTGATCCAGTTTCCTTCTCTCCCCTAAATGACACTACTAAAAGGGCAAATGTCCTTTGGCTAGGTCCTTTCTGGTTTTTGAGGGGACACTAAAAGCATGTTACCTATCCTGAGGTTGTTCATGGCTAAATTACCAAGTCGTACTCCTCTGGATCCGCTGCCATGCCCCTGAGGCCATAGCGATGAGCATCTTTGGAGAGGCGATTGGCAAACTCCTCTGCTGTACCCGTTTGGGAACCATAGAAAACCACTATGTTACGCCCCTGGAGAGACAAAAAAAAAAAAAATCCCTGTTAAATGGTGATTACTCATTTAGGAAATGCACAGACGAAGCACATCTTGTCAGACACAAAGGAAATGCCTGGGATCAGGAGCCCTGGACTGCAACCTAAAGGCAGCTAGGAGCCTGCACTTGTACAGGACTCCGCGCCAGGTTTGCAGCAGAAAACTCAAGGCTAAGCTGTTAATAAGAACATGACTCTTGTCAGTCTCAGAGGAGTGACTCAGGCCAGACTAAAACCCAAAGCAAAGAATAAATCCTCAAGATTTCTCAGCCTCAAGGCTGCAGCGTGACTCCTGGAAACAGGGAACTCCCTGGATGAGAAAGCAGACTTGCCTAAGCTTTGGGAAAATGCCTAAGCACCGGAACTCCTACTCCGCAAAGTAGTGGAGCAAGCCAGCTACTTTGAAGTAAACCAGAAAATATATCCAGCCCTTGCTTCTTCCTCTGCTTCCTCTTGTGTCCAGTCCAGGGGAATAAAAAACTGCCAGTTCTGTGTGCAATAATTCCCATTCCAGAGTGAGCCAGTTTGGGAACCAACCACACAGACAAACAACTGCCAGCCAATGACTTTAAAGTCTCTGCCATTTCCCTCCTGACTTTGATCTCATATTACATTTATTTTTCATCAAATTTTCACTTTAATTTTTTCTCTAAGAACAACTCTTGGGCATAGACTGAAAGAGCTACCCCTGCCTGCCCACACAGCCTTCCTCTGGATGCTCTTTACAGCAGGTATGTGTCCATATCTAAACCAGTCCCCCCCACTGACAGCTAGACGGTCTCCAGTGGAAAATGGGAAGGACACGAGCTCCTCTACCTTCCCAGCACCCCACGTAGCCAGAGCAAGAAGCTTACCGTCTTCTTCATCTTCTCAATGAAGCTGCTGTCTCTCACTGGAGCTGCTCTGAAAGACAGGAGGAGCCTCTTTTCAGATGGGCACCTTCGTTCTTTAAGGTCAGGAATAAGCAAGTGGGGGAAAAAGTGGCCCCCAAACCATGCTAGATCTCAGAAGGCTACCCAAAGTGGTGAGAGTCCCCATCGACCACTCTTATTCACCCTGTCACAGGGATACCCATTGCTCAGCTGCAGGGCTTCTCCTCTGCACACAGCCATGAACCAGGGACTCTCCGAACATGGGGGAATAGCTGACACCCTGCCTCACCTTCATCGGTAAATCCTCCTGCAGGCAAAGCCCAGGAATTCAGCCCTGAGCATCAGGAAACCTTTACTCTATCAACTGCTCTGAGGGGTTTCACAGCTGAGCAGGTTACAAGGATCTCTCAGAGCTATGATGCAAGAGTAAGTCTCCAGAAAAATCTCAAGAGGCCAAGCCACAGTGAGAAAGAAGGGAACAGAGAGCTCCCTGCTTCCCCCACCACAGTGGACAGGCAGGGGATCGGTCCTGAGTCATGCCCCCCCAGGCGGATTGTCCAAGCTTGAAGTCAGACAGGGCTAAACACCAGCTGTTCTGACCTCAAAACAGCACGCCACACAGGAGTCCCAGAGCCGGAGAGCCCTGCGGAGCAGACAGATGCAGCCGATCAGATCCACAGAGCCTCCCGCAAGGCGACTGTTGCCTGCTGAGGTCCCGCAGGGCTCGCTCCCATGCCAGGGCATCCGTCCCCAGCATGGAGAACATTTGCAGTATTGCATGGTGGTGGCTTTATCTCAAAAGAGAGACAAACCACAGCAGCATCAGAAACATCGAGGCAGAGACTCACACTGCTACGGCTACCCTATTAGGTAGGGAGCAAGAAAAGCTTTAGCTATCCTAAGCACACCCATGGGCTTTCAGTGTCACAGGGTGAAAGTAACCCAGCCCTGGGGACCCCGGAGTCCCCACAAGCAGAGGTGGCTCTAGCTACAGTCAGATTAGGCAATAGGGTCTTTTCAAGGCAGGAGGACAAGTGCCAGGAGCTCATGTGCCACCTTCCCCACTGGAGCTTCGGTAGCGGGGAAGAGGAACGTGGGACCCGTTCCCGTTTCTCTTTCACAATGGAAGAATGCAAGGCTGGGTCTCCTGTGGGAAGAGAGAAGCCTCCAGGCAAAAAACAAATGGTTTTGGCTCTGGCCCATGTGAGAATGTGCAGAGCTCGCTAACAGTTTCCTAAACTCTGCAGCCCAGAGGGAGGGATCTCTGCGGATGTGCCGAGACATTTGCAGAGCACACACACAGAGCGGCAGGGTGGGGGACGTTCAGTAAAGCATGCCTTCAAACACCCCTTTCTACCCAAAGGTATCGAGGAGCTCTGTAACCTGGCCAGACAGCTCCAAGCACTGATGCAATCCCACGCAGTACACACTGAAGACAAGCAAACCCTACCCAAAAAAGCTACCCAAGGAGGCTGTGCTCCCCAGAGGGAGATGCTTCATGCCCCAACTTTGCTCTCTCAGCAGTTAACACTCTCCCTGTGCTGTCCTTATTTCCCTGTTGGGAACTGGGATATCACAAGCATCTTTGCGAGAGCAACCCCAAAACCCTGCCCATGCTACTGCCAGGATGGGGGCTTGGGAGAACCGCCCCCCAGCCCGCTCACAAGACTCAGCTCTCACTTAGCTTTTGGCTCCCTGGTGAATCTCTTTGGTGTACTGCCCTCTGCAAATGAGATCCAATTAAAATAACTGTTGGGTCAACTGCTAAACAAAATGCTTTTAAAGGAGGGAAAAAAAAAAGTTTTAGGTCTTTTCAGCAAGCTCCCTTTGGAAAACAAAACAGTGCAGCACATGGAGCTCGTCTGTTTTCAAAGGAGGCGACCCTGCACTGAAGTGTTGTGGTGGAGAAGAGTCTGTGGCTCAGACACAGAAGAAATAATAAGTCTGGCTTTTAGAAAAAGGCTATACAACTCCCTGAAATTGCCTCATCAGGGTGGCTTCAAAGTCTGAGCTGCAAAAATGCACAGACACTGAAGACCAAAACTACACTCATTTTCACCACTCAGGAAAACTTCGAAGAGAAAGTAAGTTTTCAGCAACAACTGCTCTTACAGCTTAGATATCTCATGGTATGAGCTAAGAGAGTTAGAAGAAGTGACGGGTGGAGGAAAGGGGATTAACTCCATTGTTGGAGCGAGTCTTTAGCTTGTACAGATTGCCCACCCTTGGTGAGAGCCCACAGCGTGAGCGACTCCCAGGGTGCTCTGTCACTTTGATTTCAGGAGGGAAAGGAATTTCACTTCAGGATTTCAGGGGGTAGGAAGTTAGCGACAGCTCAGCAAGGATATCAAAGTCTCCGTCTCAGCCAAATGCCTCTCCTTCAGAAAGCTCCCATGCCCGTAGCTTTCCTCCTGAAAGCACACATACATCCAGAAGTGAGAACGCAGCCTGGACGTTGCAGAGAAACCAAGCACTGACAGCAGGGTCTCCTCTGGAGCAGCCTGCCTCCAAGGAGAGCCTCTCCGCTTCCTTCTCCTCCTGACCCAGCAGTGAGAGGTACCCCACTCCACCCAGCTGTGGGGTGACAGAAGCAACCCTCCAAGTCAGAGCAATCCCACCTGCCCATCGGGCAAATTAACTCACCTCGCCACGGCCGCCTCTTCTCGCGGGGCCGAGTACGCGCAGCCCATGGTCGGGGCAGGGAAGAGGCAGACAAAGAGTCGCAGGGCAGCCGGGTCTGTCTGCGAGGGGAGGTGTGGGGGGGACGGATCTAACTTAGCTCTGGAGCAACACGCACACAGGCCTTTCCATTCTGCTCCTCCTGGGCATTAAAGCCAAGCGTCAGCCTTTTGTTAAGGAGAAGAGAGCCGGCACAAAAGGTCCCAGCACGGGTCATAGCAGGAGAGGTCCCGTCCGCTCAGATACTCGTGGCAGGGCTTTGGAAGTTACTGAGTGGATCCGCACAGTCCTGAGAAACTGCAACATCTGGCAGCAGTGGCAGAAAGGAATTAGGAGTGGAGAATGAAACCTCCCAGGATCCTCCGCAGCACACATCCCTCTCCCATCCGTGTGGAGCAGGGGGACGGGACACAAAACCCTCCCCCAGCCTTGTTACCTTGGAAACTGTTTATATCACAGCTGCTTTTATATATATTCTTTTTAAAAAAAAAAAAAAGTCGGCACTGTAGCTGAATGAAATGATTCCAGACACTGCGTGAGCAACACTATGGGTAACTATGGCAGTGCCATTACGGAGGCAGCTCAAAGGAGTTTGTTCTCTTCAGGATCCTATTAAATTAAATTAGAGATGGTCTGTCTCTCTCTAACACACACGCAGGCAGCAAAGAGAGCTAATCAGACTAAGGAGTGGGAGCGATTCCTGCCACAGAAAGCCCCACAAGCACCAGGGAATGGATTTCTCTATAGCTGCAGAATAGAGATAAGCCAATTTCTGCCCCAAACAATGTTAAAGACAGGAGGAGAAGGGAGGGGGTGACACCCAGAGTACCAGTCGATGTCTCGCCTGCATCTCCCCAGGGCAACAGTTTGCCAACTCCGGAGCGGGCACATGAGAAAGGAAGAAATACGCAGAGGAGATGCAGACAAAGAATAAAAATCAATTAGCGCGTTCCCCAGCAATGCCCCCACGAGGGAGTGTGGCGGCCACGGCTGCGTGGCGATCGAGAGCCATTCTCCCTAATGACATCTGCAGAACAGGCTGTGAGGAAGACTGCTCCGGTGGTTTCAATTAAGTCTGAAAATGGTCAAAATGCAAGCGATCCTCAGATGGTGGTATCCCAGCCTGCCCTACGCACATGCGTGTTACACAACACAGGTACAGAACGTCTCGTACGCAGCCAGTCTCTGCATACGCTGGGCTCTGTCCCTTCTCCGGAGGCTTCGGGCAGGAAAACAGCTCCGCTTGGCTGGGAGGGTAAGGGTCCAGCAAGTGCCTGAGCTGTGGCTGAACCCAGAGACGCATCATCGGGGCAAGATCATGACCGTTCCCAAGCCACGCGGGCTGGCAGAGCCACGCAGAATGAACCCAGACCAGATGTCATTCAGAACAGGGCATTTCGACCATGCATCTGTTCTTCCACAACCAAGGGCAGGTGCAGCAGTGGCATTTCCTCCAGCGACCTCACCGAGATGACGCGGCTTGATCAAGGCGCGCTGCTCAGCAGAGGTTCCCAAAAACCCCCAGGATGGCACCAAAGTGCCAGACCCCGTGTTCAGGTCGGAGACTCTGCTTCCATGCTCCCACGTTGCAAGCACCCTCGCTACAGAGGCAGTGGCCATCGCGAGGCGTCTGAATTGCTGAGCAGCATTTTCGTCCTCCAGTCTTCCAAGGCTGCAGCTGAAGTTGGGGGCCAAAGCGACACAACAGAAGCCATCACTCAACACCATCAGACAAAGCAGTTCGGGACAGTTCGGCAATTCAAGGCAGAGCTGCAGAGAGTGTGCTGACAAAAAGCAACACCTCTTAAGGTCAAGGCTCTCCACGTCAGCAGGAGACTGTCCCACCAAGGGCACTCTGCCTTCACGGGTCTGGGCCAGCTTCCCTGCCTGCAGACGGGCCTGCCCATGGACCAGCTTGCTACTCAGCCAGCCACAGGCAGCGGCTGACGGTGTGATCCTGTATCTTGCCGATTTGCTTGTTCATCAGAAAGGAAACTCCACCCCAGACTCAAGGACGACAGGAGGGAAGGAAACCCGAGGCTGAACAAGCTTTTTTCCCCACTCATTTTCCTCTCGGTTCCAAGTGTCCCATAAAATAACACTGCAAAAGCTACAGGAAGTTGCCGTCCCCATCCTGGAGGACAGATGTGCCACCAGCCACAGCCTTGGCTTACGGTCTGTGCTGCCCTCAGACCAGTTACTACACTGACCACAGCAGGGCTGCAGCAGGCAATGGCACAGTCAGGCTTAATGTACTGGGAAAAGCTACTTCAAAGCTTCCTCTCGTTCTTCACCTGCCTGGCTGTCACTTTTTCAAAACGCAATTGCATCAGACAAGGTCCAGAGCAACCTCACCTCTCCTCCCTGGTTATCAGTGACAGGAGGTGCTGCTCTTCCACAGCTCTCGCAAGAGGCAGTTGCACGGAGCTCCGTGCCAGCCATCTCCCATACAAACGGAGAAGGCAGCACAGACCCCGCACAGGAAATGCAGGCAAAATACTCACGAGTCAGGTGAAAGCCGAAACCAGCCAGTCTCTGATGGAAGCCCAGGTCCTGCAGCAGGACGAGGTGGTAACACACACCCAGGGCGGTTAGCAAGCCACTCTGCAGCGTGACTTCTCTGCAAGGTCACGACAGCCTCTGGAAGAGCTGCACGTGATGGGTGGCAGGTGGAAACAGTCACAAGAACGGTGAGCACGGGAGCTCTCCAAGTCAATCTGCACTATGTCGGGATCTAATTTCAGATTGATAGGGCCAGTTTTCCAGACAGCTTAGCTCTCATCGCAGCGCAGCCATTCTCCTTACAGTCTCCAGAGGCAACCGCACGCACAGATACACACAGCCCTCCCTTGCAGGCACGAAGGGGAAAGTATCCTACCGATTCCCAAACAAATTCCCAAGATAAGGCTGATCAGGCACAGATAGCCGGGCTGCTACCAGCCTCACGTGCACCTGCACAAGGTACTGCAGCCAGGGACATTTCTTCTTTTTAAAACCCTCCCAGCCAGAAAATGTACCTTCCATCCTCCTGCGACACCAGCATGCGCAGCCTGCCTGAGTTTGCTCTGAGCTGTGTGCTACTCTTCCCGTTACCCAGGGACTTCACGACAGACCTGGCATTCCAGGCTTGCCTTCAAGCAGAGGCCTCTCATGATCTGACCAAAGCTGAAACGAGGAGACCAAACCTGCTCCTTTTCAATTATGACCTGAATTACAACACAAACACTGGACACCGAGCCCTGAAAAATGAAAGCAGCATAACACACTAAGGTAGACATAACGGTCTGAGGTAACAGACCCACAACCGCTTGCTGTGTTTGATTTAGCTTTCACACACAGGGTAACGGGAGCATCAATCCCCTGCTGAAATGCCTTTGCTTATCACCAAACATCCTCATCTGCGCAGCCTACAGACAGCTCCTGCCACAGCTTCTTTCCACACCAGGCTGTAAAACTTTGAAATGAAGGACTGACGAATATTTCTTGTCAGAGCAGCGCCCACAAAGTGCCACGGGGAGAAACCCACTTCACACAGGACGCCTTGCTGGTACAACTGTATGTGTTAAATACAGTGACTTTGCAGCCAGCATTACAAACCCAGAGGATTCACCTTTGGTGTGTGGTTACCTTCTGCAAAAGCCTAATACTGGAAAGCACAGAGCTGGGCTAAGGCTGAGGCTGGTCGTTTCTCTGGGGCAAACTGCACCCACGCAGGGAACAGATCCCAGGAGACTGAAGGGAAAGGTATCGCACAACACCAGCTCCTATGGCCTCTGCTGCAGCGGGTTTCAAACCTCTCTACTGCTCTTACCAATGGTCCAGGAGGAAGCAGAAGGAATGAGGTAAAAAGCCCAGCAGAAAAGAGATGTTAAGTTTAGCCTGTGCCTGAGACCAGGAACTAAACGCACCCAGATCTCCACCAACACAGCTCGCTCCTGGTCCTAAGCCCTTTGCAGAAGACAGGGTAGAACAAGGACCTCTCCCTCTCCAAATCCAGTCTCCTGCTGCTGCGGTAACCTGGCATCAAAGCCAAACAAGTTTCACAAGAGCTGCCAAGCAGCTCATGCCCAGGAACTCTCTCCCAGCTCCCCAAGACTATTTCTTCTCTTCATAGCTAAGGATAGATAAGATTCCCAATAGAAAACCTGCTGAAGAGCAAGTCCACCTTTCTCCAGATTTATCTAAATGTGACTTATCAGAAAATGCAGAGAATAGCCAAAGCAATCCTTAAGAGTTTTGAAGTACAGCCAGGGGCTTTTCTGCCTTGCCTTTTCTTCCCTTGCTCGGGAAAGGCAAATTACTGATTTGGGCCACACGGTGGAGTAAGGCAGAACTGCAGCCTGGCTCTGCCATAGGGATTTCTGCATTGCGAGGTGAATGGCCCAGAAGAAAGATGAGGGGAGAGAAACGCACTTTGGGACTAAGCCCCCTTGCCTGGGCACCTCCAGAATCCAGCTGAGCTTCCTGCACAGGTGGAAAGTTACACTCACCCCACACTGCCTGAGAGTTGTTACTTACACTGACTGCATTTTGGGGAGGTCTGGGACTTCCTCCTTTTTCTTGCGGAAGAAGAACCAGTAAGTAAGAAGCCCGGTGATGAGTGAGATGAGAAACACATCCATCATGCTGAAGAGAGAGTCTTGCTGTGCAGTGCTGTCGGGAGGGGAGATGGTTGGTTCCACGCTGGCATCCCCCATGATGGTCAGAGGCACTGGAAGCAAAGAAAAACAAATGAACACCAGAATCACACAGTGCAAAGAGGACCAGAAAAGCATTAAGGGCTGTTCACAGCATACTCTTCCGCTATACATTTACTCCTAGGAGCACAGGGCAGCCCAACAACTCTTTGGAGAGAGACTCTGCACCACAATACCACAAAATCCTTTTGCGCCTTAAGGTATCTCACCGTCCCACCAAGTTTTTCCCTTCCTGTTGCATCCACGCTGATCCATCAGAAGTGATTTCTGCTCCCCCCTCTGCCAGCACTACTGAAGCAGCCCCACATTCCCACCAGGGAGCCCAACCTGGCTCCTACTAACACTCCAGCAAAACTCAACAGGGACTCATGGCCGGCCTTTACTAAAGCCATTACTCATCACAGAGCCCATGCATGTTGGCGGGGGAAGACCCCACTCTTCCAGTCACCCCACAGATCTGGGTCTTTCTCCCTCCTTTCCACAAGGTGATACGATGCCCTGGACCTACTGCTGTGCTTACAAATTGCAGAGCAGGACTGTGGCATGGTCCTTCTGTGAGCATCCCCACATCAGGTCATTACAACACAAATGACAAATGCTTCTGATCTGCTATTCACCGCTGCATGCGGATTGGATTTACTACCCGCCTCTTTCTGGGCCTCTAGCTTTCCAGTCCTCTCCACTCTCTTCCCCAGTTTAACTTCCATCTCCTTGAATTACTCCTTTCAATTTGCTGAGGCAGAGTTTAAGTGACTTGTGACTTGCCCATGGCCATAGCCAAAGTCTGTGGTAGCACAAGGACTAGTACCTAGCCCTCAAGTCCCCGACTAGCCCTGTGGTCCCTGTCCTTTCCCTGGGGAGCCACCCACTGCTCACTCCCTCCCGCTGCTCTGCCAAAGCTCTAAACTCCTCTGACCCTAGTCTAGATCGCAAGATTATCTTCCCAACACACAAGGACACACTCTGTCCAAGCAAACAGATAATTAACTCAAAACTTGATTTGTAAGGGCAAAGTGACTCTCTTCTTGTACTTGGGCATCCTGCCAACCCAGGAGACCATGGACATTTGAACTTGCACACACAAAAGTGACTCAGAGCTGTGGGGGTGCCACCAGAGAGAAAGGACACATCCTGTGGCTGAGCCTTGAGGGGACAGTTAACCTGATCAGCAAACCTGTGCCTGCTGGAGAAAAGCTCCCAGACTGCTTTCCTGGGGGGCTGAAAGAGAAGCAGCAAACCCCAGGCCGTGCCTGGGCTGACAAGTAACACTGACTGAAGCTTAAGGTTATGCTCACACATTCAGGCACTGGGAAGAAAATGGAAGGTGATGCTTAGGGAGTGCTAACGAGGGAGACCAGGTAAGCTCTTCAGCAAATAGGAAGCCCTTGGTGTTACCCCACCAAGGAAAAGCCCAGCTCCGGAGAACACAAAGTACTCTGCCACGGGCCACCAGCTACAAAAGGCAGTTCTGTGAAGTGCAGGTAGAAGTCCACAGCCACCTGGCAGCAATCATGAGTGGGCTCCTAGGTATTTTTGCAGTCTAACCAGCTCTCAGCCCCATGAGAAGTTTAATTCAGTGGAGAACTTGGCAGGAGACTGTACTATGAAGGGCACTAAAACACCACTGCAAAGCTTCCCATTAGATTCCCAGAGAAGACACTAAGCAGGGGACGGAAGAAAAACGTTAGTGATGTGACTGCAGACAAGCAAATTGCACATTTCTCTCCATCAGGCAGGTCACCCTGTCCTCCCTCCCTTGCAGGCAGGCTTTCCATCGCTGGATCTCTGAGCCAAGCAAGAGCTGGGTGTTATTTATGTACAACTGTAGACTAAACTGTTAGTTAAAGCCTCCACAACTGGAGCTTAGCTGCCAACAATGCAGAACTCCCAACAAGATCCCTCTCCTCCTCCATGCTGGGTTCCTGTAAATGAGTGAGGAGCGGGTCCAGCAACTAACACTGAAGGAACACACTGCTGGGGGGAAAAATGTTGCTGGTTTATTGCCTTCACAAGTCCTTTCCCAGGCACATAAGGCAACGACAAACCTTTGCTCAGAGGAAGTCATGAAAAAAATGATGGAGATTGCGCTAAGCTGGTTTTGGGCAGGAGCTGCACCCCTTCCCTTCTAAGCACCAAATCCAGCACTTGCAGCAGCAGAGCCCCAGGAAAGCCTCCTTGCACAGAGCAGCGTCCCTTGTAACTGACTGCACATGGAGGAGAGTTTCAAGCTAGACATGTCTTCGGTGAATGGCAGCCAGCCCGGGGTGGAATGCATACAGGCTGCATACGCCTGGCCCCACAGCAACTCCCCTCCCAGCTCCAGATAGCTCAGACGTGGACATTCGCCAGCTGCCCTTATACAGGGCAAGCAAATGAATTCCTGGGATAATCAGCAAGGTGAGGGCTATGTCTCCAGCAGCCATTCATTGCCATGCCCAAGCCAAGAGCTTCTAGCCTCCCAGAGCAGAGGGGACAAGCAGCAGCTGCCAGGGTTTTGCTTTTTCAAGCCTCCAGAGGTGGTCTGCTCTCCAGAGCAGCGATGCCTTGGAAAGAGGCATCCTTGGGAAGGCAGCTCCCAGGAACGCAGCATGAGCAGACATGGAGGAGGAAGCCGTGCTGTCTCCTGGCCTTCATCATGCTGCAGCTCTCCAGCACTTCAAAGGGGAACCCTACACAACCCGCTCGCTCCCTGCACCCACAGCCAGAGGGAAGAGCACCATTTCTGGAGGCTTATGGGTCTAGTGCACAGATCAGAGTCTTGGTTCGGTCTCCTCTCTTCAGCCACAAGCCTCCATAGCGTAAAAGCTATATACTGACCTCCAACCCTGGAAGGAAACACAGTCAATCTCTAGTGATGAAACCAAAGACACAAGAACAGCTTTAATTTTGACGATGGGCTCCACCTGGTCCTGGACATTTGGCTATTCAAGTCCTATATCCTAGCTACAGGTTTTTCTTTTTGCTCTCCCTTCATCATCCCCACCCTCAGGAAAAGGCTTGCTTAGATGTATCAAGAGAAAGGCAAAGAATGTGGAATTAGACCTCACATCTTTTTTGTAAAGGGTTGTCATAACTCAGGAACTATTTATTTAACTTGCTTCACCTAGCACAGGAAGATTATGCCTCAGTTTATCTCAGTCTTACCTAGTTGGCTGTAACAATCATTTTCCAGAAGTTCACAGCAATTCATGTTCAAATACATGTCCTTTTCTAATTTCTAGTGAAAAGAAACCTGACTCTTACTTGGAATTTAGCTATCCTGGAAATCTAGTAGTCTCTGGAAGGACCCTGATAGAATTAGATCAGGTTTTTAAAGGGCAAAAGAAAAGAAATTTATGATGCAGAAGTAAAAGTTCCCCTGACACCAGTTTCAAAGCTAGTTATTTTACCCCCAAGGTTTATTATATCTTCAGTCAAGATTAGACAGACTTCCATTTCCCCTTTTTTCCTTTTTTTTTTAATTCATGGCTCCAGTTCCTGGATCCCTGTTTATGCACAGAGAATCTGGTGTAAAGCAATCAGTCTCAGCCGAGATGCAAGGCATCTACGTCACACAGAAAAGTCACAACATTTTGAAAGATTGCAATCAAGCGATACTATATTTTAGCACAGCTTTTCAGCCTCTGAATGCAGCTTCTAAACCTGGGAATTTGCTTGATACACAGCAGCCTGCAATCATTCAAATCACATGGGACCCTCTCTGCACATCTCCATGCTGTCAAACAGATGCACTTCCTTCTCATATTAAAAAATGTATTCCTACTTCTCATGCACATCTCAAGCAAAGGACTGGAAGCACTGTCAGTGCTAGACATCCTCATATTCCCCATGAATTCCACATGGACTAAAGGTGCTATCACATCACAGCATTAAAAATATTAAAATATAAATTAAAATAGTATTACAACAAACAAGATGGGATGGGGAGTACCCTAAAAGCCAAGTGGTCAGCAACCCAGAGATCTGTTCTTCCCCCTCGCTTGCACACAGCCCACAGCAGCATTAGGAGATGGAGCCGCAGATGCCCCCAAAAGCATGCTGAAGCCATGAACTCCAACTGTCATGAAACACAGCTTGTAAGTCCCCCTTTCGGCCAGATACAAGGATCTTTCTTCGAGTCACATTGTAGTATCTTCTAGTGACCAAAAAGCCTTGTCTGTGAAGCTAAGTTGGCGATTTGGGCAGGAAGTTGGCTCTTTGAGTTGAAGTAGCTTTTTATTTATATAATGTTTGCGATGAGTTTCAAGTATCTCGGGACAATTTGGCTTCCCAGTTCCAGACCAGGACTGCAGCCCATGACTCTTGCTCCAAAAACAAGTAACCAAGCTCTCTGCTAGACTCTCCTACCCTGTGCCATCAAGAGCACACCCTGACCCTACTCACGTGAGAGGAAAGGAAAAGGAAGACTGCTGATCAAGCACAGCCCGGGCTGCTCACTGCTCCCACCTCCGATAACTGGGATTCAGCTCCAGCCTGAGATCACGCTGCCCAGCCGATCACAGCCTGTAGCACCAAGCAGCCCCCAAGTTCAGCTCAACACAGTAGAGAGGGCTCCCCACGATCCCCGCGCACCCACGCAGCAATAGGCACAAGTCCCGCTGTGCCCTACAGACTCTGCCTGCCCTGCACTGGGCAGCACAAAGGCTGCACCCCCATCTCCCGTGCTTATTGAAACAGCCAGAGTTTTCCCAACAGGAACCAAGTGACATCAGTGTCCTTTGGATGCCTGCAGATAAACACAGGAGCTGCAGGCAGAAGGTCTGTTTTGTAATACGTGCACGTAAAAACCGGTGACGACCAAGTCAAAAGAGGAATGGAGTGACATAAATGCATGCAATGCCATCAGTCACCCTCCGCATGACACTCGCGCCGATGCCAGGCACCATTCAAAGGGAGCTCAGCAGGGTGCCGGCAGCCAAGCCTTCCCCAGCCTGCAGCAAGGTCCAGGCTGTCTCAGCTAACTGCTAGCAGGGACACCAGGGAGCCGGTTAAGTCAAGCC